AAAACTGGAGATTTTAATATGGTACTTTCATCAATTCTTTAGTAAAAGCTTGAACAATATAATTGTTCACCGTCAATTCCTTAGGTGTTGAATTTTGGGTTTCACTTAGTTCGTAGTGTCACAAAACTAAGATCATAAACACAGATGTTGTGCAACCATAAACCTCAGTGGTAAGTGCTGAGAGTCTCAAGGGTTACCATGATGGAATGAGTGTAGTGGAGAAGTAATAAGAGATGGTGTAAGATAACAAAAGTACCTCTACTGCAAGAAGAAGGACCAAGCAGGAAGTTCTTAACTCATGTGAGAAAAGAGTGAGGTAGCTCACGATTAGAATAAATGAAGTGGCCTTGTTGGGAAGACAAGGTTTGTGTATACCAGGTCATGAAGGCCTTTATTCGAAATCTTATGAGGCTTGAGACACATACAGCAGCATGCTTCTAGGGACATGTAGGAAGTTCATAAAGTGTATCCACATAAACGAATAATAACACAAAAAAATTTTGGAATTTTTGAGGTAAACCGAACCTGAACCTACGGTTGGTTTCGGTTGAGAAAAGTTTTGAAAAACCGAACCCGAACGTTCGGTTGGTTTCGGTTCTACAAAATTTTGAAAAACCGAACCCGAACCTTCGGTTGGTTTCGGTTTTGGAAAATTTTGAAAAACCGAACCCGAACCTTCGGTTGGTTTCGGTTGTACAAAATTTTGAAAAACCGAACCCGAACCTTCGGTTGGTTTCGGTTCTAGAAAATTTTGAAAAACCGAACCTGAACCTTTGGTTGGTTTCAGTTAAGAGTTTTTTTTTTTTTTTTTTTTTTTTAATCATACTAGTAAAAACAGAATTGTACACCCAATACACAACATTGAGAACTATCTTTGACGAAATGAGTGGGTTAGATAGTTGAGACGAACCCTAACGTTCGGTTGTTATGTTTAAGTTTGGTACTGATTCAGATTCCATCATACCAAGTCCTTGCAATATTTTATTGAATGATGCTTCAGGAAGAGCTTTTGTAAAGACGTCAGCCAGTTGATCAGTGGTTCTTACGAAGTGAACTTCGACGTTTCCATCTTCCACGTGATCTTTGATGAAGTGATACCTTAGTGCTATGTGCTTGGTTTTGGAGTGCTGCACTGGGTTATGACAGATCCTAATTGCACTTTCGGAGTCACAATATAGTGGGATCTTCTTCATATTGAGTCCATAGTCTCGAAGTTGGCTTTGGATCCAAATCACTTGTGATGTGCAGGATGCAGCTGCAATATATTCCGCTTCGGCAGTAGACAGTGACACGCATGTCTGTTTCTTGGATTGCCAGCTGACTAACTTCCCGTCAAGAAATTGACATCCACCAGTCGTGCTTTTTCGGTCGAGTCCACATCCTCCAAGGTCAGCATCAGAATAGGCTTGAACAAAGAAGCCTGAGTTGGATGGATACCATAGACCTAAGGAGGTGGTTCGCTTGAGATATCGTAGGATGTTCTTCACTGCAAGCATGTGAGGTTCACGAGGGTTTGCCTGAAATCTAGCACAATAACACACAGAAAACATGATATCAGGTCTGCTAGCAGTTAGATACATTAACGATCCAATCATTTGACGATAGAGCGTGATATCAACAGCTGGTTTGTCTAGAGATGGGGTAAGCTTAGTGCCGAATGCCATAGGGACTTTAACTTTTGAGTCTCCCATCATACCGAACTTTGCTAGGAGAGTCTTCGTGTAAGCTTCCTGATTAATAAAGATGCCTTCGGGTCCCTGTCTTATGTTTAAACCAAGGAAAAAATTAATTGGACCCATTGAGCTCATTTCAAACTTAGTCTCCATCAGCTTTCTGAATTCCGCCGTTAAGCTTGGATTCGTGGAGCCAAAGATGATGTCATCGACATAAATTTGAACTATCATAAGGTGGTTACCTTCCTTTTTGCGAAAGAAGGTTGGGTCAACCGAACCTTGTTTGAATTTAGACATCTTTAAAAATTTTGTAAGCGTTTCATACCAGGCTCTCGGAGCTTGTTTAAGTCCGTACACTGCTTTATCCAGAATATAGCAATGATTTGGATGCTTTTCGTTCACGAACCCAGGAGGTTGCTCCACGTACACCGTTTCTTCAAGTTCTCCATTGAGAAATGCACACTTGACGTCCATTTGGAAAACTTCAAAGTTCTTGTGGGCAGCATAAGCCAGAAATATTCTAACAGATTCTAGCCGGGCTACTGGAGCGAAAGTCTCTTCATAGTCTATCCCTTCCTCCTGACAATATCCCTTTACCACCAGACGAGCCTTGTTCCGTATAACATTACCTTCCTTGTCCATTTTGTTCCTAAAAACCCATTTGAGACCAACAACCGAAGCATCTGGAGGAGTTGGAATTAGGCGCCAGACTTTGTTCCTTTCAAATTCGTTCAACTCGTCTTGCATTGCTTGAACCCAATCAGAGTGATCGAGAGCAGTGTTAACTGTCTTTGGTTCAACTTTTGATACGAATGAATTGAACATGCAAAACTCTACCTTTGAAAATAAGGAAGTTTGTTTTGCCTTCAGTTGTGATCGGGTCAGAACCTTTTCAGATACATCCCCAACTACTTGAGAGACAGGATGATCTCTGGTCCATTTGATAAGAGGAGGGTAATTTGGATCAACGGTTGGGTCTAATTCAGCATTGATTATTTCGTCTAGCTCAGATTGGCTATCATAACCGAGTGTCACATCATCATGTTCCACCTCAGTTGGTGTACTTTGGAAGATATGAGGTTCGTGTGATTCTAGTGGGCCTGAGCTTCCTGGTGTTGAGACCTCTTCGGTTGAAGTTGTGGGATTTGGCTCCCCCTGGACTTGAGCGTTTGGCTCCCCCTCGACTTGAGCATTTGGCTCCCCCTCAATTTGAGCTTCGTTGGAAGGAGAGTCGTTAGAGATTGATACTTCTTCATACATTCTCCTTGCAGCATCTTCGACAATCTGCTCCATGTGATCAACCATGTTATCTGCTGCATCTGCTTCAGAAAGTGAAGCATTCTCTGGTTCGTCAAAGAGCTCCAGAAATGTCTCGAATAAATTAGCAACCGAGACTGTAACTTTGCCATTTAGAGGAAAGATTTCACCAGTGATATTTTCTTTAGCCTGTAGCTTCTTGACATAGTTGTCGTCAAAGGTCACATAATACGTCTCTTCAATTTTTCTTGAACGCTTGTTTAGGACCCTGTATGCCTTGGATGTGAGAGAGTAACCCAGAAATATTCCTTCGTCGGCTTTGACATCAAACTTGTTGCGGTGTTCTTTAGAGTTGAAGATGAAACACCTTGAGCCGAACACATGAAAAAATTTCACGTTTGGCTTCCTGTTGTTAATATCTCATATGGGGTGAGAGCGAACCTTTTGTTGAGATATGACCTGTTCTGTGTAAAACAAGCAGCAGAAATAGCATCAGCCCAAAAATAAAGAGGTAAAGAAGCGAAACTTAGCATAGTTCGGGCAGCTTCACACAAGGATCGGTTTCGTCTTTCGACTATTCCGTTCTGTTGTGGTGTGTAAGGAGCTGAGAAATTATGACTGATTCCCTTTTCTGCAAGAAACTCTTCAAACTCCCTGTTCTTGAATTCGAGACCATTGTCGCTTCTGATGTTGCGAACCACCTTCTTGAGCTGAACTTCAATTTGCTTGATAAACATTTTCAGCTTTTGAGTCGCTTCAGATTTGAGCTTTAGAAAGAACACCCATGTAAATCGTGAAAAGTCATCAATGATAACAAGAATATACTTGCTACCACCGATGCTTTCGATAGATGAAGGACCACACAAATCAATATGAATTAATTCGAGTGGTTCAACAACTTTTGTGTTGATTATAGATGGATGACTTTGACGACTCTGCTTTCCCATTTCACATGCAGCACACAGATGATCCCTGTCGAACTTGAGTAGGAAGGCCCCTTACATGACCTCCTGTAACAAGACGGTTGATATCTTTAAAGTTAGATGAGATAATCTTCGGTGCCACAACCAGCTTTCGTCGATTGCGCTTTTGACAATAAGCATACAGCTGGGTTTCCTTTGATGGGTTTCATGTTTAAGGGAAAACATTTCACCCTTTCGCTCTGACTTGAGAATCACTTTATTTGATTTTTTCTCTATGATTTCTGAACCTTCATCATCGAATGAGACTTTGAGACCTGTACCTCCAACCAGTTGAGATACACTAATGAGGTTGTGTTGGAGTCCTTCCACATAAGCCACCTTCCTTATAGAGAAGTCCCCATTGGTTATCATCCCGTATCCCTTTATGGTGCCGAAAGAATTGTTTCCGAACTTGACGTTGCCACCATTTGCAAGCGATCTGTACTCCCTAAGCTCCTCTTTCCTCCCTGTCATGTGACGCGAGCAGCCACTGTCAATGTACATTCTTCGTCGAACTGCTCGTCACCTTATAACCTGCA